TGCCCCCCACACACAAAAGGGGTTCCAACAGACCCTTCAGTCTTCAAGCTGGCACTGGACAAGCACCTAAAGTCAGTTCCTGATCAGCCGGGTTGTGGCTCGTACGTTGGTTTGCGTGCAGCCAGCAGCAACAGCCTGGTTGATCAGGCTCTGATCCACCAGGAGGCCTGGTCACAGACCGGGCCGCGGGGGCGTTGACCCCCGGAACTCTCTCCAGGTAAACTCCAGGTATATGCTTCTAAACTGTTGTATTCTGAGTACCTCTGCAAAAACAGTGATAATGGGTGAGTGTTGAATGATGATGAAAGTATTTTCTTTTTGGGGATTTTCTTTCTTTTTTGGGTCACCCTGCCTCGGTGGGAGACGGCCGACTTGTTGAAAAAAAAATACACATAGGTACAATTATCATACATTGTAAATTACCTAAGATAATCCAAAATAGTCAGTGACTTATTTCCATTATAACATTACTGAATTTTTGAGGGTGAACGTTATTTTTTTAGGGGGAGGGTTACCCAACATTGGTGGAAGATGGCCGGTATTAAAAAAAATGAAAATATAACAAGTACAACAAATAATCTTTAATAAATACTCTAAAAGCAGCAAATGGGCATAGTATGCGGGGCTTGGGAGAGAAACTGATCTTGTGCAACGCGAGTACAAGTGACACAGACTGTACGTAAGTGTCTGCAAGTCATCCATAGTAATATCATTGTCATCCACAGTTACGTGATAATGAGTTGGTTTGCTGGTTCTTGAATACCCTGTAGAAAATATTAATACAGGTTACCTATTTGAAATGGTTCACTGGTTCTTAATAGTAATATTACTACTGACTGTAATGATTTCAAAGAAATTCTGAAAAATGCTACAGCAATGTTAGCCAGTGATTGTGTACAAGTCTGAAAGTATTCCAAGAAATTTCACTTAGCAATAGGGAAGGAGAAAGTATAAAATAATTAACTGATTCCTAAGGTTTCAACATTGTAAACTTAAATAAGACAAATGTACTTACTTTATGAGAGCAAAGATAGAAATCTCTTCTCATTTGGATGAGTTATTGCTGTATCCACTACAGTGCCAGGTGGAACGTTCTTACACTTTCCAACACCATCTTTGTCACTGCAAAACAACCTAGAAGAAATGTTGACAATAATACAGTTGTACTTGCCAAGGTTTATACCAAGTATTATCACTACTGAGTGTAACAGGCAAATTGCTGCAAAAGGAAGAGAATTGTTGAACATCTCGAGTATTTGAGGCCTTATAAAACAGCAGCAGTTTCAGAAATGGGCAGATCATCCCTTACATGATAAATTTATAGATGTTAGGAAGGAATTAGAGGGATAGGTGAACTGCATATTCCTAGACTATAAAAAAGCTTTGATAGTGTCACATAGGTTACCTAGCAAATTTGAGGAACAAGTTGGGTAATAGGTGACATTAATATCGATAAGGAAATGCCCGAAAATTACAAAAGTCGCTATAAGGACTGAATACATCGGCTTCAGGAGGATTCAGAGAAACCGGTTAGCTGAACGTGAATCCTCTAAGTAGGAAGTACAAGTGCCTGCACTCTAAAGGAGGAGTTTGGGATATTTGCTGTTTGGAGGAATATCTGAATTGTCGTAGCTGCGCGTCTCTGCCAAGACAGTGATAGAGTGAAAGATGGTGAAAGTGTTTCTCTTTCGGGCCCACCCTACCTCGGTGGGAGACGGCCAGTGTTTAAAAAGAATGAAGAATGCGAGTGTGGTTTTAAAACACATTAATTACAAAACAATGAATACAAATTTACCTTGTATGGTGTCGTTTCTGAACCACTAGGAAAGTGATGCCTGGCTGATAGTTTTGGTCAAGTTCAGAACATGCAGCACGCATGGCTTTCATCTCATAAAGCCAGTTACCTCATAAACTGCGACTCACTAACACCGTCACGGTACATAACAATCCGTTCTGGCTTACATCCTCTGGTATTGTGATGAAAAGCTATCAACAGGTTTCTGGAAATATAAAATTATTAAGCCATTTTGCACATAACCTACACATAGAGGAAAGAAATTTATGCCGACTTTTTGATCCGACTTGGGCCGTTAACTATGATGACCCGTGGCCTGACTGGCAAGGCTCTCGCTTCACATACGGAGGGCCCGGGTTTCGATTCCCGGCGGGGTTGAAACATTTTGACATGTTTCCTTACATCTTTTGTCCTATTCACCTAGCAGCAGTAGGTACCTGGGTGTTAGTGGACTGGTGTGGGTCACATCCTGGGGGAGGAGACTGAGGACCCATGGAAATAAGACAAAGTCCTCGATGATGCACTGCCTTTCTTGGGTTATCCTGGGCGGCTAACCCTCCGGGGTTAAAAATCCGAACGAAATCTTAACTAGTCAAGTCGGACCCAGACGTCTACAAAAGGTTTTCTCCTACTTGCGGGTATTTGTGTATTGTTCCAGTCACGGTATTGTGCCCTTTTCTTTATTTGGTAATTTGAAATATACTGCTTTCAGAATGCAAAAATTAATCTGCCTTAAGCTTATATGCGTAAAGGCAGATTTATTCTGCCTTTACGCAGATTTATTTAACTTCAGATTTATGCAGTTTTATTCTGCATTTCCAGTTTGTCACTACAAATAATTTTCATTAAATTAATGCTAATAAAATACCTGTGATTATTGACTTACCTGGTCATATTCTTGAGGTCTTGAATAATTTCTACCCGGTGTTGTTGAGGTCTCACTTCTTACTGCATATCTTGAAGCAAATCTATCAAAGGAGGCCACAACTGCAGCCATGGAGGGAGATATTGTGTCACCAGCTGAAGGGTGGTTTACATCTGCTCCCATGATCATAACAGGTCTCTCTAAAATCTGAAAGTGGAAATAAATTTAATCTTGAAGAAAGGACATGTTTGCAGAATGAGTTTTATTAAAACTCAGTCCATAAAGATCTAACTCGTGGCTGGTTTAGCGCTTCCCCTTGATTATAATAATAATAATACTCGTGGCTGTCTTCCAGGGGAGCTGGACACACATGACCAGCCGGGCTGCAGTTCCTACTTGGATTACGTGCGGCCGGTAACAACAGCTGGTTGATGAGCTCTGATCCACCGCAAGGCCTGGTCAGTGACCAGGCCGCGGGGCGTTGACCCCGGAACACCCTCCAGGTATATATGTATATTGAAAAGGACATGGTAAAAGGTGATACTTATTTTGAAAGAGGAGGATATACAGTCCAACAAACTATGACCATTGTGCCTTATACCTGGAGTTTACCTGAACTCTCTCCAGGTAAACTCCAGGTAATAAGGCACAATGGTCATAGTTTGTTGGACTGTATATTAGAAAATAAAGACTGATGGGTAGATTTACGTTTTTTTTTTTTTCAACAAGTCGGCCGTCTCCCACCGAGGCAGGGTGACACAAAAAAAGAAAGAAAATCCCCAAAAAGAAAATACTTTCATCATCATTCAACACTTTACCACACTCACACATTATCACTGTTTTTGCAGAGGTGCTCAGAACTACAACAGTTTTAGAAGCATATAATATAAAGATACACAACATATCCCTCCAAACTGCCAATATCCCAAACCCCTATTTACGTAGATTTACGTATGTACATGTTTTTATAAGAGCAACAGATATGCCAGATCATTAGTGGTAGCCACAGTAAGAGTGAAGGGTTGATGGAGTACACGGAGACTGGCAGGAGCAGTTAGGAAAAAAGTGAATGTTACTGAAGTAAGGAAAACAGTTCTGGGGAAATATAAGCAAGAGAAAGTCCAGGAAATGAGGAGGTTCGGGATAATTTTAAGAACGTTGTGCTTGAGTGCACAACAGAAGTTTGTGGGTATAATGGGTCAGTTGCGAGTGAGAAAAGGAATGACTGGTGGAATGATAAGAAGGACTTAAGAGAGAAAAGTTAGCATACGACAGGTTTATACAATGTAAAATAAACATACGAAATGCAGCATATATAAAGGAAGGAGGTTAAGAGTGGTGAGGAGTGCAAAAGGTGAGCCAGTGAGAGATAGGTGAGTCCTCGTCAGTCAGTTTGGCTGAGAATAAGAATCAGTTTTGGAAGCTTGAAGAGCAAATGGAATTAGCATTTAAAAACGCAATAAGTGGAGATGCTAGATGGGGAGGCCGCTGAGGTAAAAAAAAAAATCATTCGCCCACCAATCATGCAATCGGTTCTGCTAGAAGTGTGCTAACATCGCAATTCAGATTACTCTATTGGCTGCAGCATCTCCATCGCTCCTTCAGGGTACTGTGGAGCCCAGTCCCTGGACCCATTATGTACCTCTGTAATCTTTTTGACTACCGCCACAGGATGGGTATGGGCTACATAATTATGATATTCAACTAAACTAACTTCAGAGTAACAGACAGAGCCCGTCCCACTCCGGCTTCCTATGGGTCCATTCCATAAAGGTTACCTTGCCACGCTCCAGCACCACATCCATTAAAAACTATTTATCTCCATCTCCTACCACGCTAACACAAATAAATATTAAAGAAAAATATTAAGTCATAAAACAACTTACCACTGGATTTCCAGTCTTTGAAATGACATTTTTTATGCCTCCCATCTTAGCATTTATTTTGAGTAGTATTATTTGCTAGTGTTGGTACTTTCACTTGAGTAACATTTACTGCTTGGATGCACTGGGTCAAGACCCCAACTTCAATGTCACCTATCCTCTTCACTCGGGCTATAAAGAACAAGTCAAAATTTTAATAACACTGTTCGACTGAAATATTGTACAAGATATAAATAGGAATTGACTCGTGATGCTGGTGTGAGATTTGTCTATAAAAAACCGTATTTGTGGTAAGAATGGTCCATACTAATGGGTCTTACGTGTGTACAGAAATAAAACTAGCTGGATAAATGCAAAGTACCCAACGAAAATAAGTCACTGACTTTTTTGGGTTACCCTGGAGGGTAATTTACACACATGTTACTATGTATTATAATTCGTGTAACTGTATTTATGTGTACTTGTATCTTATGTATGTGAGAGTTTGTGTAATGTTCCAGTCACGATATTGTATTTTATTGTATTCTTACTAAGCCTAGTCTTAGTGTGCCCAAAATGCTGTGCATACTATAGGCTTCTCAACTAGTGTACTTTTATATGTATAATATTTTGAAAGTAAATTTGACTTTTTTTTATGGATGTTTGTTAATAAATAAAATCCATACATACCACTATATTAACAATAATAAAGTTGTTACTTTTAAAATTAGGCTTTACAATGAGCTCAGGTAAGATAACACATCAGCTAGTAAACAAACCATACCACGGGCGGGATTTGAACCCGCGGTCAGATTATTATTATAATCAAAGGGAAGCACTAAACCCGTAGGATTATACAGCGCCTGGGGGGGGGAGGATGTGGAAGGTATTCAGGCTTAATTCGGGGAACTGGAGCACAGCTCCAATTCCTTAGATCAAGAGCCCCTCACCAGCGTCAAGGAACCTTCCTTGAGGGGACCCGCGGTCAGAGAGTCTCAAAACTCCAGACCCTCGCGTGGTATGGTTTATTTGCAATCGTGTCATTACGATTTCGTGAGTCACATCAGCTAGTAATTGAACAGCATAAAAATATGCAGGAAATTTGAGCCTAACTCCTTCAGAATACTAGTGTTAGAAAAAGGAACAGAAAATAGGCTGCACATCCAAAAATTTAATTATAGAGGTAGCCAATTTTGTTCAACAAACCGGCCATATCCCGCCGAAGCAGGGTGACCTAAAAATTAGAAATGTACACAGGAGTTACCAGCCCCTTGCTCCAGGCATTTTAGTCGCCTCTTACGACACGCAAATACTTAAAATATGCAAATATGTAAAACTAATCATTATTCTCACCATAGAGGTCATCACCCCTTCCTAGGACAATCAGAATCATCTGTATATCAGGATAGGTCTTCTTTAGTGTGTGTATATCTTGCTCAGGGTTGGGTTTCTGGCTACTAGTAACACTGTGTGGTCGATGGAAGGTCATTCCTCGCTCACGAGACATCTGAACCATCTTCTTGATAAAATCACTGAAAGAATGTATTTAATTAACAAAATGGCACAATAACATGACTGGAACGACACACAAATAACCCACAACCTTTCGGTCCGACTTGACTATTTACGGTCACACAGTGTGACTGAATACCCAAGTCGGAGCGAAACGTCCTGGTAAGCTCCTCTCTCTCCTATGTGCGGTTGTGTAATATATTTTAACAACAATGGGGAAGCAAAGAGTTATTCAAGAAAGGTGGGTGTTCTGGCTCTCGTATTTCCGTGTAATTTATAATACAAATTAATAAAATATCCCCTTTATATATATCATTTGAGATACATAATCCCTAAGGGTTTAGCGCTCCCTCATGATTATAATAATACTCTCATTTAATTAGTACCGCCGAGCTAGCCTACCTTTACACCCACACCCTCACCCACACACACACCCACATCCACCCACACACACACCCACACCCACCCACACACTCACACCCCACACACCCACACCCACACACACACACACACACCACACACACACACCCAAACCCACACACACCCAAACCCCACAACCCACCACACACACACAAACACACACACCTTTACACACACACACACACACATCGTAATGCATTATTTACAGCTAGCAAAGTCAGGGTATTTCTCCAGAATGGTCTGCAGTATACCACTGTGGATAAAATACTTTGCCATTTCTTGAACATTTCTGAGTGAGTTGTTTCTAAATTCATTAATTTGATCACACTCCAGTACATAATGACTTTTGTGTGAATAAGAGAACCTTAATACTTACTTAACCTGGTAATCATTAACATTTCTAACGTTGTAGTTTAGCACTGCCCAGCTCCTGATTTCTGATCCACGATAAAACGATCTCCTTTTAATATCCCATACACCTTCTTTTGGAATTACTGGCTGATCCATCATTAACTCCGGTACTGGTAAAATTCGCCCTTTCATTTGTAGAGGCTGAGTAAGAAAACAGGTTAATATTATCAATTGAAAGAAGCGCAAAGCTATAATAATTATGCAGTTCACGTATAGGTAAGAATGTGCCTCTCATGTGTTGAAGCTGATTAAGAAAGCAGGAAACTCTCAAAGTTAAAATTTAATAAGAAACACAAAGCTAAAATTTAATTAGAAACAAAGCTTTTTTTTTATATTTTATTTAAAACAGTGCGATACAAATAGCAGAAATATATTAAAAAGATACACGACAAAAGATTACGGCACAAGAATCTCACTTAACCCGAAACCTAATATTGATACCATACTGTACAGTGGTAATATTGATACCATACTGTACAGTGGTAATATTGATACCATACTGTACAGTGGTAATATTGATACCATACTGTACAGTGGTAATATTGATACATACTGTACAGTGGTAATATTGATACCATACTGTACAGTGGTAATATTGATACCATACTGTACAGTGGTAATATTGATACCATACTGTACAGTGGTAATTATTGATACCATACTGTACAGTGGTAATATTGATACCATACTGTACAGTGGTAATATTGATACCATACTGTACAGTGGTAATATTGATACCATACTGTACAGTGGTAATATTGATACCATACTGTACAGTGGTAATATTGATACCATACTGTACAGTGGTAATATTGATACCATACTGTACAGTGGTAATATTGATTACCATACTGTACAGTGGTAATATTGATACCATACTGTACAGTGGTAATATTGATACCATACTGTACAGTGGTAATATTGATACCATACTGTACAGTGGTATATATTGATACCATACTGTACAGTGGTAATATTGATACCATACTGTACAGTGGTATATTGATACCATACTGTACAGTGGTAATATTGATACCATACTGTACAGTGGTAATATTGATACCATACTGTACAGTGGTAATATTGATACCATACTGTACAGTGGTAATATTTGATACCATACTGTACAGTGGTAATATTGATACCATACTGTACAGTGGTAATATTGATACCATACTGTACAGTGGTAATATTGATACCATACTGTACAGTGGTAATATTGATACCATACTGTACAGTGGTAAATATTGATACCATACTGTACAGTGGTAATATTGATACCATACTGTACAGTGGTAATATTGATACCATACTGTACAGTGGTATATATTGATACCATACTGTACAGTGGTAATATTGATACCATACTGTACAGTGGTAATATTGATACCATACTGCACAGTGGTAATATTGATACCATACTGTACAGTGGTAACACACTCTCACACAACACACCGTATATTACAGTGGTAACACACTCTCACACAACACACTGTATATTACAGTGGTAACACACTCTCACACAACACACCGTATATTACAGTGGTAATACACTCTCACACAACACACCGTATATTACAGTGGTAATACACTCTCACACACAACACACCGTATATTACAGTGGTAACACACTCTCACACAACACACCGTATATTACAGTGGTAATACACTCTCACACAACACACCGTATATTACAGTGGTAATACACTCTCACACACAACACACCGTATATTACAGTGGTAATACACTCACACACAACACACCGTATATTACAGTGGTAATACACTCTCACACACAACACACCGTATATTACAGTGGTAATACACTCTCACACAACACACCGTATATTACAGTGGTAATACACTCTCACACACAACACACCGTATATTACAGTGGTAATACACTCACACACAACACACCGTATATTACAGTGGTAATACACTCTCACACAACACACCGTATATTACAGTGGTAATACACACTCACACACAACACACCGTATATTACATTGGTATTACACTCACACACAACACACCGTATATTACAGTGATAATACACTCTCACACACAACACACCGTATATTACAGTGGTAATACACACACACAACACACCGTATATTACAGTGGTAATACACACACAACACACCGTATATTACAGTGGTAATACACACACACAACACACCGTATATTACAGTGGTAATACACACACACAACACACCGTATATTACAGTGGTAATACACACACACAACAACACACCGTATATTACAGTGGTAATACACACACACAACAACACACCGTATATTACAGTGGTAATACACACACACAACAACACACCGTATATTACAGTGGTAATACACACACACAACACACCGTATATTACAGTGGTAATACACACACACAACACACCGTATATTACAGTGGTAATACACACACACAACACACCGTATATTACAGTGGTAATACACACACACAACACACCGTATATTACAGTGGTAATACACACACACAACACACCGTATATTACAGTGGTAATACACACACACAACACACCGTATATTACAGTGGTAATACACACCACAACACACCGTATATTACAGTGGTAATACACACACACAACACACCGTATATTACAGTGGTAATACACACACACAACACACCGTATATTACAGTGGTAATACACACACACAACACACCGTATATTACAGTGGTAATACACACACACAACACACCGTATATTACAGTGGTAATACACACACACAACACACCGTATATTACAGTGGTAATACACACACACAACACACCGTATATTACAGTGGTAATACACACACACAACACACCGTATATTACAGTGGTAATACACACACACAACACACCGTATATTACAGTGGTAATACACACACACAACCACCGTATATTACAGTGGTAATACACACACACAACACACCGTATATTACAGTGGTAATACACACACACAACACACCGTATATTACAGTGGTAATACACTCACACACACAACACACCGTATATTACAGTGGTAATACACTCACACACAAACACACCGTATATTACAGTGGTAATACACTCACACACAACACACCGTATATTACAGTGGTAATACACTCTCACACACAACACACCGTATATTACAGTGGTAATACACTCACACAAACACACCGTATATTACATTGGTATTACACTCACACACAACACACCGTATATTACAGTGGTAATACACTCACACACAACACACCGTATATTACATTGGTATTACACTCACACACAACACACCGTATATTACATTGGTATTACACTCACACACAACACACCGTATATTACATTGGTATTACACTCACACACAACACACCGTATATTACATTGGTAATACACTCACACACAACACACCGTATATTACATTGGTATTACACTCACACACAACACACCGTATATTACATTGGTAATACACTCACACACACAACACACCGTATATTACAATGGTAATACACTCTCACACACAACACACCGTATATTACAGTGGTAATACACTCTCACACACAACACACCGTATATTACAGTGGTAATACACTCTCACACACAACACACCGTATATTACAGTGGTAATACACTCTCACACACAACACACCGTATATTACAGTGGTAATACACTCTCACACACAACACACCGTATATTACAATGGTAATACTCTCACACACAACACACCGTATATTACAGTGGTAATACACTCTCACACACAACACTATACATTACAGTGATATTGTTTTATTTGTTAAAGAACATCTATAATTTAAAGTTCATGCAATTCTCCACAGATAAAACTCAAACCCTTAAGAAGGATAATATGCTCTTACAGTATCTGCAATGGCGAACTTTAAGTTTTCCAGCATTGGATCATCAGTAAAGTCATTGCTGCGATGAATGTTGCATATCTGCATCTTCCTTGTTGCAGGAGGCACAGCTGTTGTCCTGATAAACTGTGCCGTCTCTTTGTCACTAAGTTTCCTGTTCACTCTCTGACCTTTACAAATCTTGCAACACTGCAAACAGTTTGTAACATTTTACAGAAATGTTTGAGTTTAAATAAGACTAAATATGATATTGGCAGTTTGGAGGGATATGTTGTGTATCTTTATATGTGTATGCTTCTAGACTGTTGTATTCTGAGCACCTCTGCAAAAACAGTGATAATGTGCGAGTGTGGTGAAAGTGTTGAATGATGATGAAAGTATTTTCTTTTTTGGGATTTTCTTTCTTTTTTGGGTCACCCTGCCTCGGTGGGAGACGGCCGACTTGTTGAAAAAAAAAAAAAAAAATGATCAAAAATAATTACCAGCTTAATACTGTAATAAATAAATATACTGTATGATTATTTACTGTTTAAACAACAGTTTAAAAACTGCTACTTAAGTAGTTTTTAATTAGTCTTGAAGCACTAGGATAAATCTGCCAGAAATGTACCACATGTTAGTGACTTTTGTGCCTAACGATATTTTATTACGTGTAAACTACATTACTGTATACTACAGAAAGGAAATACAGTTATTATTATTACCTCAATTGGTAGAAACACATTCCTATCAGCTGGTGCAACTTGAATGCAATTTAACCTTGGAAATTTAAGTTTCCGACCAAAAGTGTTTCTGAAGTAGTTTTCTATGGTGCACTGAAATGTATTTCCTGTATCCTCATCCTTAAGAGGAAAAGTTTGTTTGTTGGAGCCTAGTGGAGACACATCAATGATTTTGTAAGTTCGAGGGATGTTGCTGTGTGTTACCTGAACCTGAAATAAAATAACATTAATACTCAATATACATACCTTAAAAAATATTATGTTTAATATATAAAAGATGACATTAAAATATGTCAACACATCCGAGTTAATATAAGATGGAATGGGAAATGTTGTTTAAATAAGTCTTAGGTGTTGTATATGTTCGAGGTTATGTGTAGTGAGACTTGTTTCTCAGTGTATACACGAAGGTTATGTGTAGTGAGACTTGTTTCTCAGTGTATACACGAAGGTTGTGTGTAGTGAGACTTGTTTCTCAGTGTATACACGAAGGTTATGTGTAGTGACATCGATACCATGCCCAGCCCTTCTAGGGTAGGGTAGGTGCCTGAGCCCGAGCCTTTAGCTCATAAGACTGTCATTCCCATTAGCCCCCTTGGGGCGGGGATGGCAGACCAGAGAGGCCTAGCTTGTGGCTAGGCCTGGGGACAGTTGGTCCCAAAGATGAGGAGGTACTTGTGCCTCCTCCCATGGGAGACATAGGTCTCAGACACTCCCTAAAGAGGGAGCCAAGGCCAGGCCACCACTTGGAAAAGGCCCGAGCCGGGAGAATACCGGCTAACCTTTAATAATAATAATGTGTAGTGAGACTTGTTTCTCAGTGTATACACGAAGGTTATGTGTAGTGAGCCCGGTGGCCTGGTGGCTAAAGCTCCCGCTTCACACACGGAGGGCCCGGGTTCGATTCCCGGCGGGTGGAAACATTTCGACACGTTTCCTTACACCTGTTGTCCTGTTCACCTAGCAGCAAATAGGTACCTGGGTGTTAGTCGACTGGTGTGGGTCGCATCCTGGGGGACAAGATTAAGGACCCCAATGGAAATAAGTTAAGACAGTCCTCGATGACGCACTGACTTTCTTGGGTTATCCTGGGTGGCTAACCCTCCGGGGTTAAAAATTCGAACGAAATCTTATCTTATACACGAAGGTTATGTATATTGAGACGTGTTTCTCATTGTATACACGAAGGTTATGTATAGTGAGACGTGTTTCTCAGTGTATACACGAAGGTTATGTATACTGAGACGTGTTTCTCAGTGTATACACGAAGGTTATGTATAGTGAGACGTGTTTCTCAGTGTATACACGAAGGTTATGTATAGTGAGACGTGTTAAATGGGAGTGAGTGAAGGCAAATGGTTTTTGGGACTTGTCGAGCTGTTGGAGTGAATAGATTCAGGGGAAACTGGTTAGTCGAACTGGAGTCCTGGAGGTGGACAATGCAGTGCCTGCACTCTGAAGGTGGTGTGGGTATATTTGCAGTTTGGTGGGATATCTGAACTGACAGTGATAAGAGTGAATGATGGTTAGTGTTTTTTTTTTCGGTCACCCTCCATCGATGGGAGAAAGACAGTTAAAATTTCATTCACGTTTGGCACGAATGACCTTGCTAATAATATACTATACTGAATAACAATCAAATCCCCATCAAAAGTATTTCTCTTACATTTAGAAAATATGTGATACCTGGTCACAGACCGGGCCGCGGGGGCGCTGACCCCCGAAACTCTCTCCAGGTATACCAAGAAATATACCCAAGGTGCTCTTATATCCTAACCTGGAGTTTACCTGGACACAATTATTATTTGAGGGAAAGAGAAAGGAAGTGTTAAACCCATAAGGGTCATGCAGTGCCTAGGGAGAATGGGAGGTAATCAAGTCTGAGCCAAGAAAGGGGAGTTGAGGTTTAATTCCTTGGAACAAGAGCCCCTAACCTGCATCAATGAACCTTCCTTGTGGAGTTCACTTGTGGCCAAGCATTCCCACCATCTACTAGATCAGTATTACTCGAAGTTTTAACACACTGGTTGTCTCCCACAGAGGTAGGGTGACCCGAAAAAGAAACACTATCACTGTCTTGCCAGAGGCGCGCAGATACGACAGTTTAGATGTCCCTCCAAATATTATTCTATATATGATAAATTAGACACATATGCAACATTTGGGTATCTTCAAAGATACCTAAATGAGGCGGTTGGAGGCAGTGGAGATGTCCTGTCTAAGGGCAATGTGTGGTGTAAATATTATGCAGAAAATTCGGAGTGTGGAAATTAGGAGAAGGTGTAGAGTTAATAAAAGTATTAGTCAGAGGGCTGAAGAGGGGTTGTTGAGGTGGTTTGGTCATTTAGAGAGAATGGATCAAAGTAGAATGGCATGGAGAGCGTTTAAATCTGTAGGGGAAGGAAGGCGGGGTAGGGGTCGTCCTCGAAAAGGTTGGAAGGAAGGGGTAAGGGAGGTTTTGTGGGCGAGAGGCTTGGACTTCCAGCAGGCGTGCGTGAGCGTGTTTGATAGGAGTGAATGGAGACGAATGGTATTTGGGACCTGACTATCTGTTGGAGTGTGAGCAGGTAATATTTAGTGAAGGGATTCAGGGAAACCGGTTATTTTTATATAACCGGACTTGAGCCCTGGAAATGGGAAGTACAATGCCTGCACTCTAAAGGAGGGGTTCGGGATATTAGCAGTTTGGAGGGATATGTTGTGTATCTTTATACTTATATACTTCTAAACTGTTGTATTCTGAGCACCTTTGCAAAAACAGTGATTATGTGTGAGGTGAAAGTGTTGAATGATGAAAGTATTTTCTTTTTGGGGATTTTCTTTCTTTTTGGGTCACCCTGCCTCGGTGGGAGACGGCCGACCTGTTAAAAAAAAAAAGTGTCTAATTTATCAACTTGTCGGTTCTCTGAACCATTCATCTACATTATATATATTTGAAGTGAACTGTAAGATAAGATAAGATAAGATTTCGTTCGGATTTTTAACCCCGGAGGGTTAGCCACCCAGGATAACCCAAGAAAGTCAGTGCGTCATCGAGGACTGTCTAACTTATTTCCATTGTGGTCCTTAATCTTGTCCCCCAGGATGCCACCCACACCAGTCCACTAACACCCAGGTACCTATTTGCTGCTAGGTGAACAGGACAACAGGTGTAAGGAAACGTGTCGAATGTTTACACTCGCCGGGAATCGAACCCGGGCCCTCCGTGTGTGAAGCGGGAGCTTTAGCCACCAGGCCACCGGTACGTGTATTAGGGCATCAGTTCACTGTAAACTACCGATATAAAAGTAATGCATTTACTCAATTATCGTCGAACAAAATGCACAAAACAACGTTGTGGATGTATGACATACAGCCTAGTAAATACCAGGGCAACAGCTATGAGTTTCTGTAAATAACTGATGAACCTCAGTCCCTTATCCCCATTTTAATATAGTTAATATGTTACGTACCCTCAAATTATTCAGTTCTCTTACAAGCCTTGAGCGTTTAAATGGCACTAAAGGTCTGTGGAAATCTTCGTCCTTAAAGTTCATAAACGCTTCTATGAAGTCCAATAGAGGTTGTTCCATATAGAAAGCTGTATGTGCAACTGAAAATAAACCATGTAAATATTAAATTCTTTTAACCTATACACAATAATAATTCAAAGACTAATTAAAATTCAATAATAATATAATCAAATTATCGCTAAACTCGAAGGGTCATACAGGGACAGGTAAATGAAAATTATGCAATTATTTTCTCAGAAAATGCTGAATTACTCTTAAAATATTATACAAGAATTAATACATTATACATTTTATTAACTAGTCATATGTGTAGTTACCATCAAGGTTCAGTAGGAGAGATCCATCCTTCCAAGAAGCTGGTCTCAATGATCCGAAGAAGCCAACAACGCCAACTTTGCCACAACCAATTGGATATGGGTTCCCAAATTCTCCACTTGTTGGGAAGAAGTTGCGACGTCCAACTAGTTCGTATTTGATGGCACGATAATGTCGGAACATTACCTCAATCATCTGTGAAGTACAGGCTAATTCTATGGTTTTCTGAATCGATATACTAACTCTATTGTAGAGATAGTTTGGATATTTTGAAAGAATAAGATAAGCTATTTAAAAGGGTGTAAATCTAGGGAGGATAGCACCTAAAGTCGGTACCTGACCAACCGGGCTGTGGCTCGTACGTTAGAGTGCGTGCAGCCAGCAGTAACAGCCTGGTTGATCAGGCTCTGATCCACCATGAGGCCTGGTCACAGACCGGGCCGCAGGGGCGTTGACCCCCGGAACTCTCTCCAGGTAAACGAGACGACCATCCAGCAGATATGTGTATACATCAGAGATTATATTTTGCCACCGAAATGGCTAGTTTATTGTGACCCCATATCCATCCTGTGGACGGTAGCACGAGAGCATATGGATACACAAAAGGCCTAGGAACTAGGCCCCAAAAGGGTTAACAGGTGTACATATGGATTTATATCTACAGTTCACTAATCTGTTACAAGTAAATTTAGTAAATCTGCTTAGTATATCTGGTATCATATTTTCATTAATAAGATATTTTGACTTAAGAAACCGTAATGACACGATTGCAAATAAACCATACCCCCGGCCGGGATTGAACCCGCGGTCATAGAGTCTCAAAACTCCAGCCCGTCGCGTTAGCCACTAGACCAGCTAGCCACAATAAGATTCATCCAACTAGGTATATTTCTACACCATAGGAAAGTTAGCACAGGCACCTCTGTGACCACAAATGCAAGTTTTTACAGACGAATCTCCAGCTAGCGTGGCCGTGACGAACTCTAGCTCAAGTCCCTTCACTGCCGTCAACATGACTTAAGAAACCTAGTTGGATGAATCTTATTGTGGCTAGCTGGTCTAGTGGCTAACGCGACGGGCTGGAGTTTTGAGACTCTATGACCGCGGGTTCAATCCCGGCCGGGGGTATGGTTTAAGATATTTTGACATGTCACATAGGTTATTATACTGTCTATCTGTCTTTGTACATCACAGTAAGTCAAGAAAAGTGGCTTCTGGACCTGACGTAATGTTAGAGTGCGAGTAAATATGAAGGAATTTTGGAAGTGAAAAATACAGTGCCTGTAATCTGAAGGCTGAGTGGTGATGTAATTCAGTGGGTTCTTTGAACTGTGATGTCCAGCACTTCGCTTCATCCTACTTTGGTGGGAAATGACCAATGTGGTAATATTTTCTTAAGCACACAGAGTGTTTCTCAAGGTAGGAGTGACCCAAAGAAGATATTTATCATCATTCACTCATTAGCTGCCTTACAAGAAGTTTCCTGACCTGTTTGTCAAATAACCCTCTCAACTGTAACTTCCCCGCCCATCCTTCAGTTCAGGTACTGTACCTTAATGAATAAACAGGCAAAACACAATCTGTACTTTAACATTCATTTTAAATCAGAATAAACTTTTATGAATGCAAAAAACGGTTTTTGATTTAATTAACCTGGAACAATGAAGTTGGAAGAGACTTCTGTCTGCCGCCAGTGTAGTGTAGAGCTTCCATAAGTTCCTCTAAGTTAGCAGTGTTTTTCACCATCAGAGACATTGTGAACCGTGTCATCTTACCATCAAAATCCTCAATGTCCACCTTAGATGAGGAAAAATAACAAGGATCTAGTTTGGTTTATTAGTTACTTTTAACACTATAATACATATTACAAAACAATTCATATACATTGTTATATTACTATTGTGTCAAGTCGACAACAAAGTCTGCCCATATGCAACACATCAATAATATATAAATGGCTGAGAAAACCAAAACGTTGATAAATGAGTATCTGAGACAAACCATTTTCTTTCAAATCGTCCGTCTCCCACCGAGACAGGGTGACCCAAAAAGAAAATACTTTCATCATTCAACATTTTCATCTCACTCATACATAATCACTGTCTAGACAAACCATATTCTCCAAAATTCATTATCGGAGGTGTTTGCTACTAAGACTTGACTCTTCCCTTAGTTCAACACTTCACATGTGGGATAAGATGGGCAGTAAACATAACTGATAA